AAAACTTTGTCTTTTTAACTGAAAACAAAATACTAATTTTGCTGTGTACTTGATACCGAGACTCATTTGCTTTAATTTTATATAGCATGACCATATTAAATTCTTCCACAAACTTTCTACAACCTTTTTACATTTAGATTTCTCTTTCTAAATAAACAGCTATACTTTAGAATAAAGTTACATTCTTTTATCAAAAGACATATTCTTTAGCATGCAGAAATGTTTTCCTTATTACTTTAAGTAGTTTTAATTAGAACTTAAAACCATTAGGTACCTTAATTTCTAGTGAACACTGAGAAGCAGGCTATTGTAAACTGTTACACTAGCATTCTTTAGATTGACAAATTTATGAACATTTTATAATTTCTGTAACTATGAGCTTTACAGCACAATCTCTCACTAAACATAAAGTATATCTTCTTAACTTAGCAAAACTTTAAGGTTTTAGGTTACTACAAAGATTCTCAGGCTGCAGGTAGGTATACACACTGTAACACACAATTAAAAAGTTGTTCACTTGCCACATTTATTTAGTTCACTCATTCGTAACAACTATGCTAGATTACTTTACTTACAAGACCTTTACTGAATATTAGACAAAGCCAAGCCTTTAAGCATTTTATTCTGAAAAGATTTAACAGATAACATCGACTTAAATGACCTTAGGTAAACTTTGGCAGCTGATAACCACAAGCACATGCCCGCCTCAGCCAAACCCAAATTAGCATTAATGCTTAACATTTTTTATCAGATTTTCTGGAAGTTTTAGAATGCCCAATTTTCACAAGCGCTTGTTTTTAAATCAATTTTTATTAATACTATCTGGAGGTAGGAAAATATTTTTCATCCATACACCCAGACACACAAACATACAAACTGAGACACAATGACTACAGTTAGCAACACTCCCCACACAAAAACATATACACAGACAGACAAACCGATATAAAGACTTGAGTCACTGATATCCAATCGCCTTCCCTCTCTTCAGCTTCCTGTCTGTGGCTTCTGGAACCAGAGGGCGGGAGGAGCATGTTCTGGTGGGGGAAGAGGGTGGTGAAGGCGGAAGGAGAGGGGTAGGTGGTGGTGCAGCTACCGGAAAAGGAGAGCAGGACAACGGCATGGTTGAGAATGTAGGACTTTAAGATGGCGATGACACGTGTGAAGACAAAGGACTTAAAGATGGTGGTGGAGAGAGGGGGAGGGGATCATGAGCTGAGGGAGGCGGGCAACTGAGGTCTTCTGGCAGATCTGAAAAGGAAGAAGGACTGGGCAGAGTAAGAGGCTCACAATCTTTAACTGGATATCAGGCTAGGAGAACCTGAGTCATTGAACACTTAGCATAAAGGTCTGGGTGGGAGCGCAAAGTCCAAAAAGCTGCACATAGGGGATTTCACTCTACTCTCCGCACCAGTGGCAGTAATTAATCAAGTTGGTGAGGAGGCTAAAATTGAAAGTTCCCTCAGGGGGCCAGCGAGATTGATTGTCCAAAGGATACCGAGGCCCGGTCTCAGAGCAAAGAAAGACTAGCTTCTATTTGCGAACTTCCCGGGACAAATATAGAGTAGCCAAATTAGAAATGAGACACCACAGTGGGGTCTGAGCCTCCACTTTTGAGGGCTGGTTTCCCATGTCTGCGCCACTTCCCAAATAATCCCGCTGAGAGGAGCACCCAGTGTCCCAAGTGCACCAAGTCAGGGGAGACGGCCTGGGAGCCTGGGTGAGGGATGTCTTCCCCACCGCAGGGCCAGGGGCGGGCTGGATGCCCGCAGATGTCCTGGGGCCTGGGGTAGGGACATCTCCTGTACTGCAGGGCCAGGGGCAGGCCGGATGCCCGCAGAGGGTGGGCCGAATGCCCCACCTGGACGTACGTATGATTTCTAATGGACCAGGTGAAATGGAGTTAAGGAGGGAAACAGACTGGGAGAAACTGAGGGACTCACCGGAAAATAGTCCATGCAGCAGAGAGCAGGCTGAGGTCCTGGGTCGGGGAAGGAGAGGGCGGGGCCACCAGTGGCCGGTTGGGGCCCCGCGCTCACGCTCCTTCCTGGGATTTTGGCACCAAATGTAAGATAAATTTTAGCCAAAATAACCAGACAAAGAGAGGCAACAAAGGGCCAGGTAGTTTATTTGAGTACAACTCCCAGGTGATGTTCCGCAGTCTGGGTACTACAGGCCGGGGAAGTCACACACCCCGTCAGGGAGGTGGGGGCTTATAAGGGGTTAGGAGTGGGCAAGATATCCTGGGGGGCGTGGAGAGGTATGATTGGCTAAAGGTGACATAATAGACAACTAGAAACTTTTTTTCCTTCCAAGAGGGAGGAGGCTGACATCCAGGTCTTAGTTGGCACATCAGAAGGATGGAATTCAGGAAGAGCTGTCCCCTTTCCATATAAGGCATGGACCTTGGGGTCTGGTCTGTTCTCCCCCTATGGCATCTCTCTGTTCTGTTTGCATGTCCTTGTTTTTCCTTCCTCCAGCCTAACAGTACAGAATACAGCAAAATATAGACATAACACAGAATAAAATCATGTTTTGAACATCTGTTATGTATCAGTCACTGTGCTTAGTATCTTACACACATTAGTTTTAACCCTCAGAGTAATCCTATCAGATATTTGCCATTATCCCCACTTTACAGATGAAGAAATAGACTTAACTTGCCCAGAGTGACAGAGATCATAAAAATCCTTTGTTTTTTTCTATTACATTATGATACCTTCAATTTAAATAATTATTTGCCTATTCTTGCACATACAGGTTGTCTCCATTTTTGGCCATTTAGAAATATGGCTAATTAACATAGTTCATCATAAAGCAGATTATTTTCTGCCAACCCAACTTTTAGGTAGTATTTGTTTCATATTCAGTGTCATTATGCAGTGATAGCAGTAGTAAATATTCTTGCCCTTTCTTTTCTTTTTCTTGTTCATATAGTTTTATTGAATGAGTAAAATGATAAGTAAAAAATTGATACATCCAGGAATTTCAAAGAAACAACAAAAATATCCCAAAGTATCAGCCCTTATGCTATTTGGGACACAGCATTTCATACATGGGAAAAAGGACAGTGCACCTGAAGGATGTACAACTGACCAAAGAGAATAAAACCCAGGTTCCTAACTTTACATTTTGATTCCTTCCTGTTCTTGAGAGTCTTCATATTTTATTTTTAATATTACATATTCTAGCAAATTCTGCTTCTAAATGGTTGGCAAAATCTTAAGACTCCAAGCTTAAATTAGGAAATTATATCAATCAGAAATAGTCTATAAGCCCTATTAAAAAAAATAGTAAACTTTTGCCTTATTTCTAATCTCTAGCTTTTTGGGGCTTTGCAAAGTCATCCAGTCCTAGTGAAGCATCCTTAGGTAATTTAGAAAGCACTTTAAAGACAAAATTAATTTGTCTTTGTTAAGTGGTAGTTACTGTTGTTGCTTTGGAATTCAGTTTTCTGCCTATTGGCATTTTACTTATCAGAACCGCAAATTCTTGACCCAGTTTCCAGACACTATTATAAGTAAGTAATGTAAATGAGTATGGCATACCTCCGAAATCACAAGAATTGAAATGGTTGCTAAGTTACTCTGCATTATAGTTGACTAGATTTATGGTACAGAATTATCAGAGTGTTTTCATTGTAATGACTAATTCTTACCTTGAAAATGTAAAAGGTAAAAATTAGCTCCATTTAGTCATTTCTTATAACTTCAATCACTAATTTTTTTCAGCAGGAGAGGAAGATGCAGTTGAGTGATAACTAAGTAAAGGTTATGAGGCATAGTGACTGGCCTCCCAGGGTTTCAAGGCTATAGGCTAATACATGTTTTCTGTTAAGTATTTCAGTAATGTTTCATCTAAGAAAGTTATTCATACAACTTTTTGAAAAATGGTCAAAGCAAAAAGAGACAAACATTGGGAGGTTGCTTAAAATGAAAAGGCATCAAAATATTTGACTCCAAGAAGTTAAGTGTGACACAAGCATCACTTTTATAATTTCTAACATTGATGATACTGTTTAATTTAAAACTAGAGGCTGCATTTGACATTTTAACCTGGCCCATCTAAAAATGTTTTAGTATGTTATAATTTGAAGTCAGAAAAGAAATTAACCAGGCATGACAAAGAAATACATTGAACTAATTTCTCATTACTGTTACCTCTTTTTTTTTGTATCAAAATGAACTTATTTTATAATGTATATTGTTTGGGAAATTGATATAAACCTATTGTGATAGCTGATAACAGTACATTCATCCATGTAGCTTATATGTTGCTTGCCATGTAGTCTGAGTAGTAAAACTAGAAAGTGCCTATTTTAATGCTCATATTTCAGTAGTGGCTAATTTGTGCACAAGCTCAGTATGCTTAGATAATAACAAAGCCTATAACTTTCGCTTTTGTTTGTAATTTTTAAGAAGTTATTTTGAGAAATTTTTTTACCAGCAAGTCAGCTTTTCAGAGTAATTTTGGAATGTTTATACTTAAAACTCATGGAAAATATTGAACCTCCTGGTCTCACAAAATAGTCATACATCTTATATTTTAAATAATACCATTTTAGAAACTTGGAAATTTCTACTTCAAAATTACATGGTCATTTTTATGCCATGTTATAACCACTTGTTTTATATTGGATCATTATCACATACATACAAATGGGATAACTGATATAAATTTATATACTACTTTGATGTTACTCAGTTAAGCTTTATCCAGAGGTTAATTTGTTGTTATAGTATACCAATACTTCCTAATCATTCATTTTGAATGAATGACTTACAGCTGGGTATTTCATTATTTCCCTAAGGCAAGTGAGCATGAGAATGGTTTCAATTTTGTCCTGATTAATAGAGTGTAGGGTATAGTTTCTTGGTACTAGAAGTTAAAGATCTTGGTGAAATAGTACTTCACAGTAATTCGTAAGTATCTGATTGATAGCCTAGGACAGTAACAGGTTCATCAAATTTTAAAAAAATAACTTTTTTTTTTGTTTACAGGAAACCTGTCTAGTTTAAGTCGTCTTGGTTTGAGATATAACAGACTGTCAGCAATACCCAGATCACTGGCAAAATGCAGTGCACTTGAAGAATTAAATTTAGAGAACAATAACATTTCTACTTTACCAGAGGTAAGAAGTGGATTATGGTAAACTCTTGAAACAAGTCTGCAAGGTAATGAAGGGAAAACTAGTAAATCTTTAGAGCTAGGTAAATAATTTGATGATTGAGATTTGCTTAAATAGTGTGCTGTAGATATACAGATATCATGAAGATAAAAATCCAGAGTAGAAAGAATAGGCATGATTATAGGGGCATAATAATTTGTTTTGATTTTAATGTGCAGAAGGGAGAAACCAAGGTGGAAAATCAGTGTGCTACATTCACCTTTAAAAGGCACCATGTAAATCTTTCTCGTATCATTTTGGGAACTATCAATAAAAGCTATTAAGGAAAAGCTGCATGGCTGGTTTTAAAATTCAACTCCCCAACCCAGTTCAGTTCTAAAAAAGAAAAAAGACACTAAAAAGGTGGTGAATGAAAAGAATGAACTAAATGAAACTATTAATCAGATTAATATTAGCTGCAACACTCCTGTGACCTAAATTATTACCCTGCTTATACACTAATACTAAAGGTAAATACTATTCAGCATATACCCGTCACCAAAGTCTGTTATTTTTCAACACATTACTTTTAAGTTTGATTTTGTTGGTTCTTTAAGAAAAATTATTTTCTTTCGAGGTTAATTGGGCAAGATGCAATACTCTTCTTTCTAAATTGACTTTCTTAACTTTATTTCCACTCTTGCCTTTCCTTCTTTTGCTACCTACTATTTTAACATACCAAGCAACTTGTACGTTTGCCTCTGCTTTTTCAAGCATAATGTCTTATTGTTGTATTTTAACAAATGAAAGAATGGAATTGTAGACTTACAGATTGAGCTTTGGAAAGTCTTTTTTTTTCCTAACAATTAAAAATGTTTTACATAGATCGCTGTATTATGTTTAGACTGTTACAAGTTTTTCCAGGTGTGTGTGTATTTGAAATAAGAATAAAGGTGCTTTGGATGAGTGTTTTTCAGATTATGCTTTGATTTATAAAGAATAATTTCGAGTAGGTGAAGCTATAGGGTTTTAATAATGACTTGATAAGGTAAATTTATTCAGTTGAGTTTTTTCTTAGGGGTACAGAAGTAAAGTAGCACTTACTAATTTGGCTCACTAATTTGGGTGTTTGTGTTTTCAGAAAGCAGTTTGGTCAGAGTACAAAAATGAATTTCCCTGGATTGTAGTTTCTAGGCTGTACCAATCCGCTAAAACTACTGTGACAGTATCTCTCCTGTGGCCAAGAGTACTATTATTAGTAGCAGTGTAAATGGGATAAGGAATAGACTCCATGTATTGTATATATAGCCCTGACAACTAGACTGTCTTTCTTTCTGTGGTAGTAATAATTTAGAATGGTCAAAATAGGTGAGGTTCTACTCTTGAGTGTTATCCCCTTTTATAACATTGATTCATATCCATAATGCAAACAACTAACACATTACTTAGACATTGTTGGGATTTGTTTAGGGTGTGATTTGTGAGTTTAAGTAAGATTGACTGCTTTTACAGTGTCAGTGTGCCTAAATATAAAGACTGGGAGTATATCAGATTTCACAAAATGTGAAATTAAAAATTTTTTTAATGTATCTAGTCTTATTGTCAGTTAATAATTATTGGTTTAGTATACAGACATTGTGCTAAGTACTTTCACATATAATACTTTGTGACAGAAATAAGTCAGGATTTATTTTTGGTGAGAGAATTATAAAGAGGACAGCTCTCTTCATTCTGGTTGTAGAAGAAGGGATGTGTGCGTGTGTGTGTTTAAACTGACCCATTTTCAGATAGAGAAGCTGTTCAGGAAACCTTTGATTGGCTTTGTCCAGATATGGGAAAACATTAAGTCTTACTTAAAAGTAACACAAGTGCTTTGGAAACAGCATATTCCGAATGCAAATATGTAATTATCTGCATTTATAATAAGCACAATAAGGAAAACAATAAAATCCATTAGACAGCACTTACTAGACATTCATGCTGGGGTAAAGCAAGAAAAATCAGGGAAATGTTTTTCAATTGGGGTTCATTATAGTGCTGAAATTAGAACTAGCAAATTGTGTACTTTTCCATTTGAAGACTATCTGAAGATGGACTAGTTTTAATGTAATAGGAAAAGGAATTTAAGCACATATGCTCAAGTGCTCAAGGCATAAGGCTAGGAACTCTATATGTATTATCCCATTTAAATCCTCACTGTAATCCTACTAGTTATTAGGGTATTCTTACCAAATAGGTAAGGAAATAAGACTTAAGTGAAGTTATTATTTTTGGACAGATTTATTGCCTTAAATACTTTCCTGGGAATATTGTAAGAAAGATACTGAGTATCTAATTAGTTCACCAAAATAGGTAAGTAAAAGATCTAAGATGGGAACCCAGGTGTGTCTGACTCTAGAGCAATGATAAGCAACCCCCAGACTTTTTACAATGTAAACTTAGAATGAAAGGTTGGAGAGGTGCCTTCTTGTTGCCCATTTTCTAGTATATTTGGATATCACCATTTTTTCATAGAAAAATGTCAATTCAATAAAGTCAGCTGCAAGAATAATAAAAAATAACATTTTTTTGCCACGGGACTCAATAAAACTATTTTCAGTTAAGTAGGATGTAGACATTTTCTTGAATTGACTGTCATGTGAAGTTTTCTTACCACTCTTATCTGTGTTTTCTTCTTTCGTCTGTGTACACCAACAGACAGATGTTGAGTGGCTTCTTAGTGTTCAGTATAAAGAATAAGTTTCAGTTCACTGTATAATTAATTATACCTTCAGTTATTTGGTTATTTCATTCCTTCAGCTGGCATTCCAAATCAGCTGACAACTCAGAGACTGTCTTCAGTTTCCTTATGGTGGACAGCTGAAATTTGAACATCATTTGTTTAAAATTGAACACACATCTCACACTGCTTGTTTTCTCCCTGCTTGGGCCTTTACATCAATCCAGGATGTTATCTTCTACTTCTCTCAATATTTAAATGTTTTGGTTTTTTTTTTCATCCTTCAAGATCTAGCTCACTCAGGCTCCTTCTTCCTTTTCCAGTTATTCCAGTATTCTTTTCTTTGAATTTAAATAGAGAAGGGTCTTAAAATTTAAGAACTTGTTAAACGAATGAACTAAAATTCAGAGAAATAACTTGCCAAAATCACAAGCTACTAAGAATCTAGATTCAAAACTATTTTATAACCTACACCAGGGTAACATTAATGAGCATGCAAATTACCTGAGAAGCTTATTACGATTCCTGTTATGATTCTGTAGGAGTGAGACCCAAGAATCTGCCTTTCTAACAAGCTCCCAGGGGGTACTGATGCTGCTCTTCCTTCAACCAGACTTTGAATAGCAAGAGCCTATTCTATGTAATTTATTTCTGATTATATACAGTTATATATTATTTTCTTTTTCCCACCTGTGTGCTTTATTTCTCTAAACATGAGGGCTTATTCTTCTTAATGGCAGAGACTCTTTTAAAAATTCCTAAAACCTAGTACTGTAGTTATATGGTGGGAGGTTGAAGTAATGAGGTTTGGGGTTATTTGCTAAGTAAATATTGTTTGATATATGTATATTCCTTTGGAATTTTACCATATGGATAAACAAATGTATTATATAATATCAGAAAGTATTATCATTTTCTGAATTTAATATTCCTAAAAGGAACCATGATATTATTGAGTAACAGCTTACTGTGTGCCAGGCATTATGTTAACCTTTAGTAATTTAGGGATAGCTACTTAACTAAGACCTGGATAGGATTGGTTACATAGCAAGTGGCAGAGCCAGGACTCAGGCCTAGACTGTTTGATAATGAAGTTTCTGCTCTATAGACGTCTCAAATTGGCCACTCATGAGATACCTCTTACCTGCAGATATGGTTTCTTTACTCAATATAGTGTTTTAAATCAATTGAAGTCAAATAATAAAAATCAGGAGGATTCATATAAGCAAATGAGTCTCTTGTTTCTTGTAAAATCTGGAAATCTGACTACCATCGCTCCACATTCCTGCAAGGCAACAATTAGCTAGAGCCAAGTAGTAACTGTCCTCGATAAGGCCTCCTAGGACTGGCCCAACCAGTCTGTGTCATCTGTTACTTGCAGAACCCTTCTAGTCATTTGTGTTTGGGACTGCTGCTCTATATTTAATAGAGTAAGTCTTGTTACAGTTCTAATTCCTATGTTTATTTAATTTTTCATTTTTTTTTTTACAGAGCCTTTTATCAAGTCTTGTGAAACTGAATAGTTTGACCTTAGCTAGAAATTGCTTCCAGTTATATCCAGTAGGTGGTCCATCTCAGTTTTCTACCATCTATTCCCTCAACATGGAACACAATCGAATCAATAAAATTCCATTTGGAATTTTCTCTAGAGCAAAAGTATTAAGTAAGCTGAATATGAAGGTAAGTCTCTATTAGGGGAAAAATGCTGCTTTTACTGTAATTTTAATGATGTTTACTGTTTATCATTGTGAAGAATGGGTACTTGTTTCTTACTGATAAAGTCTAAACTGATAATAAGGATATTCAGAGCAATTTATATTAAATAATAAATATCTTAGAATTGTGCAATTTGTCCTGAAATCATGAATGTCCATAAAAGCATAGTTGTGGGGATAGTCATTGCAGAGCTTTCTGTTACAGTTGGTACCAACTTACTTACAGGGATTTCATTTTCTAAAAATACTATTATCTTCAATGGAAGACTATGAAGCCATTAAAAATAATACAGTAGTCTAGAAGAATTTTAAATACCAGCTGAAATATTCTTAGCAAGTAAGACTCTTTCCATACATAGTTTTTAAAAGCTGTTTTTAATGTGCTGAATTATATATTTGTAGATGTATATTTCATATAACTACTGCTTACCAAAATATAATGTTTATCTATGAATATCAATCAATAAATTATAATATCAGAATTAATATAATTATTTATTTAAAATGTCCTTTTAATATTTCTCTTTTTCTTATTGAGGTATAATTGACATATGACATTATATTAATTACAGGTATATAGCATAATGATTCAACATTTGTATATATTGCTAGATGATCACCAGAGTTAAGTCTAGTTAACATCCTTTGCCATACATAGTTACAGGATATTTTTTTTCTGATGTAAACTTTTAAAATTTACTCTAACAATTTTCAGATATGCAATATAGTATTATTATAGTTGCCATACTGTACAGTACATCTCCATGACCTATTTAGACTGAAAATTTGTATCTTTTGACCCCTTTTACCCATTTTACCCAGTCCTCAGTCCCTGCCCCTGGCAACCACTGATCTGTTATCTGTATCTATGAGCTTGCTGTTTGTTTTTAAGATTCCACAAATAAGTGAGACCATATGATACTTGTCTTTCTCTGATGTATTTCACTCAGCATAAAGCCCTCAAGTGCCATCCATGTCACAAATGGGAAGATTTCATTGTCTTTTGTGGATGAATACTATTCCATTTTGTATATATACGTTTTCCATAGTGGTTGCACCAGTTTGCAGTTCCCACCAACAGTGCAGAGTTCTCTTTTCTCCACATCCTTGTCAGCACTTGTTATTTCTTGTCTTTTTGATACTAGCCATTCTGACAGGTGTGAGGTGATACCTCATTGTGGTTTTGATTTGCATTTCCCAGGTGACTAGTGGTGTTGACATCTTTTTATGTACCTGTTAGCCATTTATATAAATTGTACTGTTGCAATTTCTATTTAGATCCTCTGCCCATTTTTAAATTGGATTGTGCTTTTGCTGTTGAGATTTATGGATTCTTTATGTATTTTGTATGTTAACCCCTTTTCAGATACATGATTTGCAAATTTTTTCTCCCAGTGAGTGATCTTTAGTGTCTTTTTTTGATTATTTGTATTCTTTGCAGTAAATGAGTTTCACATTTGTAACAAGGAAAAATAAGTTTATTGCGAAAGGAAGAAAGAAATGAAAAATGATTTGTCCATTGATTTCATTTATGTGAAAAAACTTTAGGACCAAAATCACACTGTTTCATCTGTTTTTATGATAAATTCAATGATAAATATTATTTTACCATCTTAGGAATTTTTAAAGTAAAATTGTGGATACTTAGCATTATGATGATGTAATTTGCTATCTTATTAAGTAAGACTTCTCTCCTTTATGGCTCCAAATCTCAAAAATTGCTGAGCTTATCTGGTTTCCTTATGGACTATAATTAGATGTTTCTTCTTCCATTGTGTTAATGAGCATCCACATTTTATTCAGTGATTTCTGTACATTATTACAAAATGTAGAAAACATCATATTTATCATCAGGACCTTTGAAATCTCAAGTTTCAATCTATTAGTGTATTTTCCTTTATCTAATACAGATCATCACATAGGGAACAAACTTTCAGTTTAACCTCAAAATGAAAATTAATTACAATAGGAAAAACTTTGGAGGCTTAGAGTTTTTGTTGCTTTTTTTTCTTTCTGTATTTGGGTATCAGAAAAAGGAAATAGGGTTTCGGTTTTAAAATCTCTTTCCATAGAGGGTATACATGGGGCTTTGTTTTTGTGCTTCTCCCTTTGGATGCTGCTTTTTGCTTTTGCCAGGACAATCAGTTGACATCACTTCCCTTGGACTTTGGAACTTGGACCAGTATGGTAGAACTGAATTTAGCCACTAATCAGCTCACAAAGATCCCTGAGGATGTGTCCGGTCTCGTTTCTCTTGAGGTGAGTCTGAAAGAGCATTTATTTAGAACTTCTTAGACCCTTCCACATCTCTCTCACTTAAAACGTTTCTGTTCAAATAAGCAGTTTCTGTTTGAGTGAAGAGCGTAATTAGAAATGTTAGAGTCTTCTTAAAACATACAACTCCATCACAGTTCTGGAAGTGTTGACTTAATCTGGTGTCTGTTCTTCTGAATTACTCTTGTCCACTAAAAGTTGGTAGGTTTGAGTGCTGTAAAGTACCTTTGAAAGAAAAGGTCTCCAAAACTTAGCTTCTTTTAGAACATATTTTTATCCTTAACTGGTTTAAGAATTCTGCACTGTTATCTACTAAAATAATTATGGATTCCTCAGACTGGTGTTCAGAACCTTTCATGTGATTCTGGGCTACCTTTCCATGCTAATTACCCACCTGCTCTTTATTATTTTACTTACTATAGATTATTTTCTTGTTGGAAATGTGTGCATATTTCTAGCTCTATACATTTAGTCTTACTGTTCCTATATCTAGAATGCCCTCTCTTTATCCCCTTAACTGTTTCTTTTAAAATTCTTTCCATAATTAAAAATCCATCTTACTGTCATTTCCTCAAAGATGATTTCTCTTGACTCTGAGTACCTAGAATCTTCATCCTTTTGATGAAAAAGCTTACTAATAGGAAATACATATTTTTTAAAATTTTCTCTATATCCATGTTTAAAAAAATCTATTTTCTGTATTCTTTTATTTTATTTAGTAAGGTGGAATAGTTGGTATAATGGTTAAAAGCATGAGCTTTGCAGCCAAACAGATCTACCTATAATCCACTTTTATCTCTTTTTATTCATGGATTTTTTTAAAATTCATGGATTCAAGTCCAAGCTTTACTTTCCTCAGCTGCAGAATGGGAATAATTTTCCTCATAAAGTTGTACTTAACTATCTAATGTGATAATGCACCTAATGCATTTAGTACAGTACCCTGCAAATAGTAAACTCAGTAAATGGTAGCTGCTATTATTATTTTCTTGGTCTAATTGTACATGTTTATTTTATTATGGGTGGTGTAACTTTGGGAGAAGTAGGTGGTCATAAAAAATCAGCCAGAGACTTGTGTAGGTCTCTTTATTCTGTGCCCTTTTCACTTTCCCCATACTTGGTGTTGTCTCCCTGACCCACCCCACTGTAACTTCTCTCAGAACAAGGACTTTTGTCCTCAACCATTTTTTTCCTTCTTCATTTATTGCAGGATGCCTTGCAATGTAAAAAATATTCTGCAGATAATAACTGCCGTGGATTGATATGGGTAGTTTTACAAGTCAATTTTTACCTCTCTTAAATGATGGTTTTTAAGGGATTTTGAATAAATAATTGGTTCCCTGTTAGACATTTGTAACTATTCAGTATCAAAATACTGTTAACTATGTGAATCTTAGTCTAAGTAGTGAATTATTTCACTTTTTTTGTAGTTTAAATTCGTTCTTTTTGCTCTCATTAGTTTTGACTTAAATAAAATCTCTATCTTAATATCCAGTAACTGGTGATTTTTTTTTTAAGATTACTAAGTTAAATGTTTTATGTTGTATAATTGAACATTACTCTTAATATTCACTGTTTAGAGAATTAACATTGCTTAATAAATTTTAAGTCACAATGGCAATGCATAATTCCATTTCATAAGTTGTTAAATTTTATCAATAATTTCTCTTTAGGTTCTAATATTATCAAATAATCTTCTAAAGAAACTTCCTCATGGTCTTGGAAACCTCAGGAAATTAAGGGAGTTGGATCTAGAGGAGAACAAATTGGAATCCTTGCCAAATGAAATTGCCTATCTTAAGGATTTACAGGTAAAACTTTGTCTTGGTGATTTTATAGTTACATGATAAGTTTTGGGCTGCATTTCAAATAACATTTTTCTTAAGAATTTGATCTGATTCTTGTACCAAATAGATTTTCTTACAGCATTACTGTAAGAAAATACAGCTGAATTTTATTTTCATGTAAGCTATCTACTTTTGTCTTCTAACAAATGATACTTTTTGAAAGAAAAACTTAGTGATTCTTATGTCATCCAATCTAATTTCCCTGTTAGTTTATCTTACTTGTGGATGTATTACTTTAAATTTATATAAGTTGTAGGAAATATATATGTAACTGTCTTTTATTTTGTTAATGTTTTAGAAATTAGTCTTGACAAACAACCAGTTGACCACTCTTCCCAGAGGCATTGGTCATCTTACGAATCTCACACATCTAGGCCTTGGAGAGAACCTCCTTACTCATCTTCCTGAGGAAATTGGTATGAATTACTTGGGTTCTTGACTTTTTACTAATTTGCTCTTGTGTGTTCAAGCGGTATTTCATATAAATATGACAGATTACTGTTTTTGTCAATTGAGGTTCATCAAGTTCAAGATTTTTTTTCATAGAACACCAGTAGTTGGTTGGTTGGTTGGTTTTGCTTAGGTTTCCTCATGAAGAGTTAGGGGTAATACTGTGTTTGAGAATGTTTTAGCATAGTTGTATTTCCAATAGGTTTAACTTCAGTTTAGAAGCATTATTCATATTTCTTCTAAGTTTAAAAATGATACAGGCTGGGATCAAATTAGTAATGAAAGTTCCTTATGATATTTAGGATTAATATTAATATTTGTGACTACTTTAGAATTTTAAAGCATTTTCATTTCCATTATTTCATATAGTCAACATGACCACCTTTAATTTTAGGCAGTATAAACTTGTAATTGCATTTTACAAAGAGAGTTAATTGATTAAGGTCACATAGTAGTTCTTACATTAGTAATTCCATGTATTATGTTCTACCACGTATACCATGCTGTATCAGAAGCACTATAGATTAGTGGTTAAGAATGGTTTTAGGGTAACACTGACAATTTAAAATATGGCTCTGCTGCTTATTGGCTTTGTGGCTTCAGATAAAGTATGGAAACTCCTTGAGCTTCAAGTTTTATACCTGTAAAGATGATAATAGTAATTTCTCATAGGGTTGCTCTGAATAGTAAATAAAATCTTAAATGTAAACAAATCCATTACTTGGTAGCCATTATTTTTATTAGTATTCTATGTACTACTATAAAATATTATAAATTTTGAAGTTTAAAAATTGGAGACACAGGAGGCAACTTCACACTTTGATTTCTAGTATTTTACTCAGCTGGTCTCATGCAATTGCTTGAGACATTTGCATAGAAAGTATGAGTACCCTAAAACAATCTAAGACAAATTTTTAAAAGACAACATAAATTGATTTTTGTCTTACTGCCAAATATGTGATAACTCTCATAGTGAAAGATTTATACTGAGTAACAAAAATTTTTCATTGAGAAATGTATTAATTAGAGAGGTCTTCACATTGTCTATAACAGGAAAGTGATTATAGGCATAGACTACACAATAACTTACCTTTGGAGTTTCAGAAAAATATGTCTTAATGTCAGGATGTCCCAAACAGAATATCTGGAGATATAGCATGAGTGCTTTTAAAAAAAACACTCCAGGCTTGGAAAGCAAACATAAAAGAAGACATTCTGATTTAAATTGGTATAGAGTGTGACCTGGACATAGGGTTTTTCAAATCTTCCCAGTTGATTTGAACATGCAGCAAAGTTTGGGATCCACAGTTGCAGAGAGTTTTAAAACAAAGAGAAGAGAGTTAAGAGGTAATGTATATGATGCCCAAGATAGTGTCATGCCCAGTTGAACTTTTCTAATAGTAACTAATTTTTAAAAAAATAATAACTTAATTTTTTTGAACAGGTACACTGGAGAACCTAGAAGAATTGTATTTGAATGACAACCCCAACCTGCACAGCCTTCCCTTTGAGCTGGCTCTTTGCAGCAAGCTTTCAATCATGAGTATTGAGAACTGTCCACTCAGTCATCTTCCACCTCAGATTGTTGCTGGAGGTCCTTCTTTCATCATTCAGTTCCTAAAGATGCAGGGTCCATATCGTGCCATGGTCTGATACAAATCTGCTGGTCCCACACACTGTTCAAAAATAGACTGCCGTTAATGTTTCACATCTATATCTGTATCTATTTATGTAGATATTGATATATTTGGCAGATTTATAAAGACTGCATATGTGTTTCTGCTCATAGAGGAATCATAGCCATTTAGATTTTTTTTAATTCTGTACAAAAGGCTTATATAAGTTTTCTTTGCTAAACTTGATGGATGTTTTTCTGTTGTGTAATATGATATGCCAGTTTGCTTAAAACATTTGCCAACAAATAATGAAATTAATAAATTTAAGGGACAGAGGTAGTATAGTGAGATATACTTTCTCTTAGCAAAAATAATGGACAATTTTGTTGCAAGTTTTCATACACATTTTCCCCTTACCAATTGTCAGATTTTTATATTATTATAGGTCCTAAAAGTAGAATTTTTCTTTAACTTATTTTGCAATTTGAGATTTAAATTTTATATGTTGTTTACAGTCAGAGTAAATCACTGGATTTTTTTGTTTGTGTTGATTTGCTCTGTTTTAATCAGTCAGATCTAGAGTTCTCTGCTAAAGAATTTGCATCAGCTGTTTAAATATTAAAAGATACTTGCTTGTTGAAAAACTGGCAAAGTGAAAAGATAGGGTCAAAAATTCTAGAATTCCTTTGTTTTCTCTGATCAATTGTAAAGCAAAATATCTGAAGTGAGTCTTTGGGTAAGGGGAGGGTATTGAGACCTTTTCAAGTATAAATATCATTTCTTAAGTTTGGGGGAACAGAAACTTGTAATGCAAAGAAGTTTTCATACCTAAAAGTTGCAGATCCACAAAAACTTACAGAATAATTTGACAAAAAAAAAAGATACACATAAACATACACATTCTATATATGTATATACAATGCTATATAGATATGTATTTATTATATCATAAACTACAATAGGTAACTTTAAGGATTTCTCCCTAGCCTTGTACAATGAAATGAATGTTTTTCTTTGAACACTGCAATATATGTTTGTTTCAAGGTTATTTAACAGTGTACTAAGGTTTTATATCTTGACTTGCCTTGTACATCTTTCAGTTCTGGAATATCTGCATCTAAGCACAATATGTTCACACTGTGCTGTATTGCTGCTGAACTAAATGCACTTTTCCCCATGTGTGGGGCACTGGCTTCAAACAACTCAGTTCAGTACCATTGGTTTTAATCTCATTTTTCCTTTTTTGGTAGTTGTTAATGCAGTTATGGAAAAGAGGCACATTGCATAAAAGCCATTGGTAGTTCAGTGGAAGTTCTGTAAGATGTGCATGTGCTATTTGATACATACATATATANTTTTTGCTTTACTGCTTTTGAGACTAGCAGTATTGTAAATGTGTCTCCCTTATACAGTACTCTTACTTACTTCTGGTGGTGTGGGTCTAAATCAATTTGATTATTGAAAGAGGCTCACACAGCAAGTGCTTTCTAGATATCCTAAAAAACCTCCCATAGAATGAATAACTATTATGTATAATTGTGTATTGCTGCTTGGTTTTAATTTTTTTCCATTTAGATGGGCATTGTATTTTAAATAAAACCATTTTTGGAATTAAGGCTATGTAATATTAAGATAGAATTTGGAGGGTTTTTTTTTTTTCTTTTCCTGTTACTCCACATCAGGACTAAGTTTGAGGTTGAACCTACATTCATAATTGGCAATTTTTTAAGGAGCAACTAAGAAATGGAAGGCAGGTGAAGATATAAAACCCTAGAATGCTTAAATGTGCTGTAAAACTATTGTAGATGTCACTGGATTTTACCAAGTAATATCCTTTCTTCTTTTTTTTTCATCTACTGTGGCTTTTCAGTTAAAATTTTGTTTATAAAAGGAATTTGTTTATTACAGCTCTGTTTAGAGCTTGTGTGTATGTGTGGTTTTTAAAAATCTATATCCAGGTGTGTTTATATATTAAGATGGTGGAACTTAGACTTTAAAGGCAGTAAGTAACCTAATGTCTTTTTGGGAAGAAGAAAAAAAGTATGGTTTATTGTTTGTCAAAAATGAAAATAGATATGGTTTTTCAAACATTTGGTTCCCCTATCTTCATTCCATTAGTCTGTAACAAATGAAAAGTGATCACAATCTTCCATGTAGAAGTGATGGTACAGGCAAACCATATATAGCTGAGGGGTTACTTAAGAAGCATAAAGCATATGTTCTGTTTATGGCTGCCACCTTGTAAGAGCCCATAATTTCATTTCTTTTTCTAACAAGAAACTAAAATTGGACTCTAGTTGTGATATCCTTTTGAAATCGAGGTATTTAATATTTAAGTAGTTTGACTATAATAAGGAATATTATTGAATGACTTAAACTAATACATTGCCTGAAACTGCAGTGGGACTAACTGGCATGTCCAAAAATTTTCCTTTTTTTTTTAAAGAAATTAGGTTTAATCTCTCCATGAGGCCCAGTAAATAAGAAAAAGAATATCATTAGAATGTTACATTGTAAAAACTTTGCTCTAAACTTCACTTTTTGTTGTTATATGTAGTAGCCAAATGGCAGTGGCAGTGTCAAGCAGATCTTCTTTTGTGGTAGTTAATGCTTTTAAAATTCTCTATGATTGTGTCATACAGAAAGAAGGGGGAGATGCTAAATAATTTATGGACCTGATGGATACAAAAGAAAACAGTAGAAGATAGAAACTCTTGGAGGATAAAATACACATAAAATATTTATTTGTACTTATATTAAAGGTGGGTGATGCAAATGGAATGAGCTCTGAAAATGTAATTACATATATCTAATTTATCTCATTGTAAATTCTGAATCATTTAAAATGGATAAACTGTTATACATCACAATATTTCCAGTCTTTCTCTGGTGACTTTTGGCTTTTTATCTCACAGTTACTGCTAAGCCATGCGTGTTGAGTCTAAATTTCAACTTGCAGAATTGGTAATTATTTATCAGTCAGAATGGGTCTGGTTAAGTGTGTGAAATGGGACACTTTGGAATGGAAAGGAGCCACTATCAATCATATTGGGCCAACAGCCATACAACAGAACTGTCTTTGGAAAACCAGGATATATGGTTATTCCTGCATGATTAAAATTAGATGAAAGCAAGTGGCACAATCCAAAAGAAGCAGAATAATAAATCTCTGAAAATTTCAAATTTAACTAAAAGGAGTAACTTTTGACAAAAGGTTACCTTCTGTCTATACTAGAGGATAAGATAGTATACCAAATATCTTAGCTAAAACTTTTCTCTTGCTTTATTCTTTTGGTTGGTTTAGCCTTTAAAAGTCAATCTGAGCAATTGGAAAACATGTGACAATCTTTGGTTAATTTAGCAAATCTCTGAAAACTTGAATATAGAATAATTGTGATACTGATTTGGATATATAAGGAAGTATCTTGAATGTTGTTATATAAGAAAGTGTTTTATAAAATAGATAATAGTACTGTGTTACTGAATACAATGCCTTTACCTGATAATACAATTCTTAGGACACATTTGTGGGTTTTAATTTTTAACTTTGAAATATGATAAAATATAAATAAGGTTTATTTTAGATTATTCTCTTTACACACTTGTTAATTGTACCACTGACATTTTACATTCTAAATATAAACTGTTTTGAAAAGAAATACCTGTTTTCAAGACTTTAACTCGATAGTAGCTATAGTGTTTCAGATTAGGGATGTTCTGAAGTTTAGTAGGAGGAATAGTGCCTCCATTGAGAGCAGTATAGGTAGGGCTACTTAGGGGAGATTTATTCACATCATAGATTTGTATATTTATTATGACATTTTTTCAGTAGATGGCAGGCAAGTGTCTTATTCTAACAAAATCAGTATACTATGTCAATTCCTGACAGATGGAAGTAAAGAGACTTGAGTAGGGAGTATTTCCTCCCTTCATTTGCACAGTGGTGCTAGGTGGGTTAATAGGAGATTTAATCTTACTGCCAATTATTAAAACCCCATTCTAACAATGCTAGTAACAATTGGATAATATTTTGATGACATGAGCAGTTACTATTAATGATCTGATTTGGAAAATCTAATTACAATCTATATAGATACTTTATCAGTGACCATTATGTTATCTAATATGCCTTTTATTGTTACTGGTAGTATTTATGTGGAGAATTTAATCTTCCACTGCTCTAATCAGGCTTAATATACAAATAACATTTACATTAGTCATTTATAGCATTTTCTTTTCCTGATTTTATAGAAATTATCCAATAAGCCTGTCCATCTAGCTTGCACTTAAAATCTAGTGTCTACTACTGAAGGGAATGATCTACGTAAAGTTTAAATCATTTATATATTTTAATGTTTTTCTTTAATAGAAAAGTACTCTAATATGTAATTTTTCCTCATTTTTCTTTCTCACTTTAAATTCATTTTAACAGTGTTCAGAAGGTTGTTTTTGTAATTGCTTTGTTTTACATCCTTATTAATGAATAGTGTCTTTTGGTTATATTTTAGTTTGTACATCAGAACTTGTGTTTAATTAGATATTGATAGAACACTACAAAAATGATAATATCAGAGAACAATATTAAACAGGTTTGACTTTTCTCCTAGTAAAGATTGGGCTTCTGCTGATGTTTAACGGGGCTTGTGCCATGGTAAAATAAATACTTAGCTATTCTGAATTATGATTCAAGGCCAAAAGGGGTCAACAGCCTTCAGAAAAATGTACTTTTAACCGGAATTATATTGTTGATTATTTTAGCTATATAAAAATTATCTACTTTTTCAGTCATTCTGCAATAAGATAGTCAATATAAGTAAATGTTTTGCCATTGAGTCTTTTAAAAAATTTCCAATTCTACGTATAACTGAAGTTGGAGATAAAATAAATCTTTGCAGTGTCATAAAACCACAAATATGTAAAACTCAGAGAAGTGATGCTTCACTACCATTTAATCTTATGAAAACCTTTAAAACAGCAATTGCCATGCATAAGGTATAGAAAAATAGGTGCACAAAAAGATGCAAGAAAATATTTTGTATGGTTAATAATGACCTTCAAAATAGTTATTTATATTGTTTATATTTCCTATTTCTAAAACCCCAATTACAGTGGGGTCTTTTTGTTTGTTTTTGTTTTTTTAAATATTAGAATAATAATGAATATATCCCATGATGAAGACTATCCTATTATTTAGACACTGAATGAATTATTAGAGGTAATTCTCCCATTCTGAGCCTTCATGAAGAAAATGCCTTTTGTTTTGTAACATTTCATAAGAAAATCTGCACTGCTGTTTAAGATATCTTAGTAACTAAAGGTAAAAATTGAATTTTTAGAAGGATTTCTAGAAAAGGAACATCGTGATATTGGCGGCTAATGAACATTATTTGAGTTGTGTTTTTACATGTTTCATGAAAACAAAAGCTATAAGGGTAAAGGAGACCTTATCCAGTGGGAACTATTTTATTGGCTGAAGAAAATTTATCAGGGAAGATAACAAATACTAGTCCTGTGCACAATGTTATTGACTGTTATCTTTCCTCTTAACAGTCTTTGATAATGAATTTTTTAAAGTCACTCTAGCTACAAGAAGACTGGATTGAAGGGAATCAAAACTAGAGGCCAGTGGGTCAGAAGTTGTAGTAATCCAGGTGGGAGATAATGGCTTTGATTGATATTGTAGCAGCGGGGATAGAAAGAAGGAAACATTTAAGGGAGCCCTAGGAAGAATATTAGTAAGACTTCGTGATTGATTTGAAAAAGCAACTTAGAAAATCAAAACTTACCCCCAGGATGTAGCTTAAGCCTCTGGATGTATTTACTAAACTGGAACTTTGCAGGAAGACCAGGTTCTTCTAGTTTGGGTGTAGGGAGAAGATGTTACAGTATTTGTGATACATCAAGTGGAGATGTCA